ATAAGAATAAAATACTCCATGAAGCTCAACAAGGGTTTCGGAAAGGCAGGTCGTGTACATCTACTCTTCTCGTCGTATGGGACAGTTGGACGTCCTGTTTAGACCGTTAAATACCGGTGCACGTAATATTTCTCGACTTTGCAAAAGCCTTTGACATAGTACCCCACGCACGCATAATTGTAAAGGTTGTGGAAATGGGCCTCACTTACCCACTCCTATCTTTGCTCATAAACTACCTTGAGAATATAAAGTTTCGCACTAAGGTAAAGAGAGTGCACATGAGTTGGCGAGTATCCATATCGGGAGTTTCAAATGGGACCATCTTAGGCCCACTTCTCTTCCTGATATTTATTAACGACATGTTAGGCTTAGTTAGCTCACCGGCATTGATCTACGCAGACGATGCGAAGATCTGGAGGTCCATTATAAGTGAACAGGATTCGACTGAGCTTCAAAACAACCTTACATCTATTGAGAAATGGGCAGTGAAAAACGGTTTAAAACTCAACCAACCGAAGTGTCACGTCATGCATTTCCTGCCTCACATGATGCAGTCGATCTATACCCTCAATGGAAATCCGCTCCCTAATGTCTCCTCTGAGCGCTATCACGGTTTAATTACCACAGAAATCTTCCACACGATTCCGAACCATGTAGGGGACGCAGCCAATGCAGATATGACTCTTCACTTTATGCGAAGACGACTTGTTTCTATCACCCCGTAATTATTTTTGACACTATTTAAGACGTACTTGCGCCCACACCTGGATGGTCACAATCTCATCGCACCCGCTTTGCTTAAAAGAGATCGAGTGCAGAGACGAGCAACCGAATGGGTGATAGGGTTGTAAAATAAACCTTACAACGATAGACTCCAGCTCTTGGGATTATTTCCAATGAGCTACAGGAGAATCAGAGGCGATTTGATTATGGCGTACGACATATTAAGCACGTCAAACCATTCCAACGTGAACATCTTACCGATGCATCACCACCACTCCCCTCGAGGCAGTCCTCGAAAGATTGCACATCAAAGAGCGAATACTCAGATCCGTGCACACTTCTTCTCATTGCTAGTCGTCGCAACTTTGAATGCTCTCCCAGCCGAGGTGACCACAGCCCCTCATTGGCCTGTTTTAAGAAGAGACTTCATAATCACGAACTGACCTACGGACTATCATCTCCTCCTTGTACAAGTTGTTCATGATGACCTGCTAGTTGTTATCGTTGTCATCTCACATCACTTACTTAATCTATCTAGCCTATCATCTCTGTTCCTTCACCCTTGCTTACACTACCGTACTCTCTCACAATCTTCACTACCAATTAACAAACTAAATTCATCTATATATTACTAAGTTCCGAAATTTTATTCATATTAGCATTAGGATTTTATACTTATTACTCTCCAAATTGCAACTAACTGATCTCCGGTCTGGTAATGTGACGGCTGCTGGTATCCAGAACCCCTACTGCCCTGAAACAAACGTTTTCATTCAAATCCCTAGACATACAAACTCACAAACAACTACCAACTGACTAGAATCAGACAGTCGAGCGGCTAGACCTCCATCGATTGGACATTACGGAACACCTGGAACCGTACCGAAAAAACAAGAATAGAGCGCAAAGAAATCAAAGCCGGACTCCAGAACTGACTTTTTACAGCATCTGTGTCAGTCATTGAATTGGTGATTTATGAGCCACTTTCAGTGTGTATATTTGAAGCATGAATATGTGCTTGCATGCCTAGATAGAGATTCCTTAATGGGGATGCTATGAATTAACTAATTCTACTCCGTAATGGCGTGTTGGCCAAATGGAGTTCCGACTTAGATTAATATGAATCACATCATGACCATCGAGGATGCAGCTGGAAGATCTTAACTTTGCGAATAGTGTAGCTCCTCTGTCCCACACGCAACAAAAATTGCAGGAGAAGACGTTCAGTGTAGCAGAAGCCTCGGCAGCAGCAGGTCTCCAAAAACACAATGCAGAAGCAAGATGCTTCTATACAGCACAACTCGCACCAACCAAATCACATTTAACGGCCAAGCATTGAGGATGTAAAAAACCTGTTGTGTTTGAGAATGAACTTTAGATGAAAATATCGGGTTTCCAATTCTGCTTATGGACTGCACCTAGCCCTAATGTAGCTGAACCTGGCCTGAGGATAGATTAAGTTGGTGAAATCGGTCCAAGGTCTCATTATTTAAAAATTGAAAAATGTTTTTTGGTATATTCTCGTGTCGTTGTTTCCACACAAACTCTCTAGAAACGAAGACTAATAGTGGAGGAAATATATGTGCAGAATCTGAAATGAGCCTGAAATAAAACTGAAGAGCCCAAACTCACTATTTAAGTGCTGAGATATTCGTTGGTAATGGTGCTTGAATTAATGAGTCTAAGCGATAAAGTTTATAGTATAACCTGTAAAGATTATGAAATCAAGTTGAATCAGACATGTGAGTAAATTTCTAGCCACATTTGTATGATGAAGGCGTCTAAATTAAGTTAGAAGCCGCTCATTATGCAACTTAATATTCTTCGAATGAAATACAGTGTAATCTTGAAACTACTTAATATCACCAAGACCGGTAATGACCACCCGTAATAAGGCAGGCATGATTTTTATTAGGAGTTAATTTACTAGAGATCTCATCTGGTAGAGATTACAAATATGCGTTTTTCAAGTCTAAAGTAGAAGAATACTGAACAATCGACCAGTCGTATAGCTAGTTAATAAATGTGATAATCTGGATGTGCTCTCACCAAATAAGTTATTGTTAGTTGACAGAGGTGTAATATTCGACGAAACGCATGCGAGTAAAACTTGCTTACATAACAGAAAATGGAAGGTAGCTCAACAACTAGCCAACCTATTCTGGAGCAGATGGTTATGGGAGTACCTACCGACCCTTCGAGCGAGATCCAAGTGGTTGGACATGAGAAAGAATGTAAAACTGGGAAACTTGGTTTTAGTAAACAATACTGGCTCACCGAGAAATCTGTGCCCGAAAGCTATAGTTAGACAGGTCAATTATGGTCCGGATGGAAAAGTCAGAACACTTCGATTAAAGACAGCAACCGAAGAGATCACCCGGGATATACGGAACCTATGCCTACTAGAAGAGGCAGATTATTTGAACGCAACGGTAACGAGGTCCGGACTTGGTGATCGCTTAGGGGGGAGTGTTAGTTATTTCGATAACTAACCAATCAGATTGTTGTTTAGGCGCCCACCACGTGATCTGGTCTGACGTGTCTGTAAACTATCTTTGTTGTAAATGACCTACTAATTTAAGGACATTAATATCTTGTTTATACTGATGTGACTCATATCTTTATTCATTCCGATAAGACACGTTATATTGGTCTGTACTTTTGCTCATCTTACTTGATAATTGTAATTTCCTTATTTATTGTACTAATCTAATTGTTTTTATGTTTAGAAACATACAAAGTTTAAAGCGAAATTAGTCTTGTTCTGACTATAGCTACCAGATTTGACCCGGTCACTGCACCATACATCTGAAGCACACAATCAAATGCATCAGATGTATTTATTAACAATTGTCTACGTAAAGCACTTCGGATTCGTTGATCAGGCACCATCAGCAACGACGTACTGTGGGAGGGAACAAACCAGATTCCAGTGCAGGAAGAAATGAGGAAGGAGCGCTGGAAGTAGATAGGAACCACACAACGAAATGCACCCATATGCGTCACGAGACAAGCCCTTTCTTGGAACCCTCAAGGTGAAAGGAAAAGAGGAAGGCCAAGGAACACATTAAGCCGAGAAATAGAGAAAGATATGAGAGGAATGAACAAAAATTGTATATAATTCGAAAGCTAGTCCCAGGGAAGAGTAGCTTGGAAAATACTGGTAAGCAGCCAATACTCTACTGGAGGGTAATAGGCGTAAGTAAGTATATATTAAACCACAGTGTGAAATTTCAACCCGTGTTATGTATGAGTTATATACGAGAAGGCATGTTCAAATTCCATAAGTTAGAAAATCTTCATGTTCCCTCTACGGAATAGTAGTTGTGTCATATTCATCTCTCCACTACTTTGAATCAAGAGTTTGCCAAATATCTGGAACACAAGCGAAAAAAGACACGAAGCGAGTGCAAAGAAATCAAGCTCATACAAGCTCATGGAAATTATACTGGAAATCGGATGTAATATTGGATGTATGCAAAATGAACTTCACTTTGGCATTTATGTTCCGCTTTCCCCTCCGAACCAAAAGCGGCGATAAGAAGATACTTTAAAAGAAAGATGGACAATGAGGACACGACAAATTACAACTATAAATTCGTTCCCCTTAACTAGACGTAAACTACTGAAACTTTCCATTTGGTATTGATAATTTCTTTCGATACTTTAAAAGTAAGACTCCATCTTTAATCATTTATTATTTATCGCGAAATAAATGTGACCCTTAATACGCCAAATCATCCTGACAGTGACATCTTACCAAAAGGTCACCACCCCGCCCCTTGAAGTAATCTTCGAAAATTTCACATCAAAGAGCCAACAAACAGGTGCATTCCCACCTTTTCTAATTGAAAGTTTACCCTACTTGAAACACTCTCCCAGCCAAAGAAAACGCATATCTCCCAGTGGATAGCTTCAAGAAGAGACTTGATAAACACGTAATAACGGATTACAGTCACTCTCTTGAACATCTCTGCCTGATACAGGTCTCGGAACCAGCTTGTTGTTATCACTGTCACTTCCTCAGGTCTCGAAGTTAACTGACCTCTTTCCTGGTAATGTGATGGCGCTAGTATCCCGAAAGCCTACTGCCCTGAGACAGAGGCACTCACGCATACCATGGGATAAGCAAATTCACAAAAAGCTGTCAACTGACCAGAATTAGTGCAATAGAGGGGCTAGACTACCATCTATTGGACATAACCAAATACTTGCAACTGTGCTGAAAGAACAAGAAGAGAACCTACAGAAACCAACTGGTATACACTAACTCGTAAGACAGATATTGGATATTGGAAATTGAAGAAGGGGTAGAGGGAAGTCAAACTTAGGCGGGACTCACGCTTTTATTATGAACAATCTAAGGAAGTTAGCTAATGTCGGCATCGTAGGTGGAGGTTTTGTTGGTTCTGTTGCAGCTATCGCATTAGGTTTTTCCCAGTCATTATATACTGGTATGTTAAACAAAAATACATGCAATGTAGTTAAATAGTGGATGGAGGTCATCGAGCAATTATGTTTAGTCGCATTGGTGGAGTGCAAGATGAAATATATAACGAAGGTTTACACTTCAGGTATATCTGCCTATTCTAATCAATTCTTTTTAGAATACCCTGGTTTCAGTACCCCGTTATATATGATATTAGATCTCGACCACGAAAAGTTACGTCACCTACTGGTAGCAAAGGTTAGTGGTTGAGACTAGTGACATATGCATAAACAGTCCGTGCTTCAAGCGGACATTTTCACCTGAGCCAAGCTTGGCTAGTAGGTCTCTCAATTTCCTCATATGAAAACCCTAGTTTATGTTAATTTATGCGGCTATTCACTATTCACTAACTTAGTCTCACTTTAACAGTATGGTTTCAGGATGAACTACTCCTTCGTGACAGGTCTGTTAGTTGCGGTAAATAAACTGCCTTCCCTGACGGAAGATAAAATAGACGTTAAATAAGTCGATTTATTAGCAACTTTTTATATGATTAATTGTGTCTTATCAACATGTTTGGGCTAATTGACTTTCTATCATAATAACTAAATTTTTAAGGTCTTCCAACTAATCTTTGTCACAATTTGGAGATGTAAGTGACAGTAGCCTCCTAAGTTAGCTTATTGATTTTTTAAATCAAGGAAAGTAATGTTAATGGCGCTTTTCAGCTAGATGTACCTGCATCCCAGAGTTCAATTTGCCACTCAAACCCCATACCGTCCACTTCGAATGTCATCTCATTTTTCACTTAGCTACTGAGTTCAGAAAGCCACTGGCTTGTACAGTGGCGGTGATGAATAGTACTTTTGTACTGATAGTTTGAATCTTTCCATTGATAGAACTGCAACTGGTCGGTCCCAGTCGGTATATGTGTATCCTGTGCTGATTGCCTCGATATAACCATTAGTACACAAGTATTATAGGCAGAGATGGATAGTGGCTAAAAGTGAGCTCCAAGATGCTCATGTTATTCTACTTGGGTCGCGTCAGCTGGATATATCTGCTAATTAATTTAAGTGTCCACTGTATTTGTTTACTTATTGACTCAACCCTAGTTTTAGTTTGATTGCAGTTCGTCTTCTGCGTGTTACATTTTTGTCCTCATAATTGCTGCTCTTTTTTAGATCTTCAAACAATTAACATCACATTGCGCGTGTTGTTTCGACCTGAAATACCTCAACTCCCATCAATATATCGTACACTGGGTACTGATTATGACGAACGTGTTTTGCCATCAATAGTCAATGAGGTTGTAAAGGCAGTTGTTGCAAAGTTTAATGCTAGTCAGTTAATTACTCAGCGTCAGCAGGTTTCATTACTGATTCGTAAACAGCTAGTTGAACGGGCTATTGATTTCCATATAATCATTGATGATGTTTCCATCACTGACTTGACTTTTTCACAGGTTTACTCTGCTGCTGTTGAAGCTAAACAGGTTTGTCTATTCACTCATTCATGCCTGATTGTTTCTTTTTTCACTATGTTAAGTATAGGCTCAGCTTTTATGTTCTTTCGAAGTTATATTAAATTCAATAAAAGGTGGCATGTAAATTTAACTCTATGCTGAGGGCATGTTCATAGAATAAGTCGTTACTAATACGGTGATAGTTTTAACCACTCAACGTCTTTTCACACTTCATATCGTTTTCTGCTGTGTGAGGAATCAGTGACTCAATAGTGCTACCCAGATAATATTCATAAATTATAAAAGGCTCTGATTTACTCGTACTGCATTAAGTAGAATAGCTTCATGTAAACCTCAAGTATTAATTAGTAGACATCATTGAAGAACTTCTCCTTTACCATGAATGTTCAGCGTAGCGTTTAAGACAAATGGTAACAAAATTGATATGTTTATTATATCTAAACATAAAGATTAGTATGAAAAGATACCAAAAAATATATACGACACAAATCATTAAATTTATATAGGCACCCAAGCCAAAGCAGGTGGTTTGCTTAGGGTGTCACTCACCGAACCTTTGACCTGATGGTCTAATCTATGGGGCAGTCGGGCAAAGTTATGAGATGCAGTCTCGTGATCCTAGGACATGGACACGCTTTTTAACGTCCGACAGAAGTTGTATTCCTTGACCCTAAGGCTGCTTTCGGCCCTTGATCGTTAGGTTCTGTGTCAGTGTCTGTCTTCGATAGATGTGCTGAGGAGGTGTATTAACCGTGTACAGACTCAGCTCAAACACTTCTAAACTAATCAAAACTCATGGCAAAGCGTCGTTGGGATGGGTTACTTCTGGTGGTGTTTGACAGGATTGTCCAATTCCATCTTTATATACTATTGACTTGCTCTCAAAAATAATATTCTCTTTGTCTGACTTTTTAGGTTTTAATTTGCTACGAGATTTACTTGAATTAGACTGTTCAAATGAAATAGTTCGGTTTAATAAAAACAGTGACAGAGACTTTTAATAACCCTAAGCAACAATACTAGCTTATTTGAGATGCGATTCTCCCCCTCTAAATGTCCGACCGTAGCTGTTATCTTGACATGGTGGTCAGGCTTGCCTATCGTGATGACGCGAAATAGATATATTGGCTAGAACATATGTTCCTGTAGGCTCTACCATGCCAAATAGCTGGATTCGAGAACGGTAAGACTAAAACCAGCAACTCAAGGTCTGGATGGCGTGGCTCGAAACCGTTTGCAATGGCGCAGCGCATGCACTCCCTGTGTTCTCTGAGATCCTAATCCACGGGACTCCTCATCACTTTTCTCTTTTTAAGTTTATTTCGCTAGGTTATACTTGAATAATATATTCGATCCCTAATCTTTCCGATTACTGCTAATACTTCTACTACCTTTACTACTATGGGATTAGAATCGACAAAGACGTCTCTGTGCTGTAGTATGGCAATTCGAACTTACGAAGTTCTACGTTGTAACTGACTGACTCAAGGTCTGAGGGCGAAGTCGTACTGTCGACTGTGGAGGGGTGTGACAACAGTAAGGTGTTTCCCTCAGACAGCCAGCATCTTCAGCGATGCTGTCTTCTCACAAGGAAGGAAGGTGTTAGTAAAGGACGACCCTAAAAGTATCATATCTTATCTTACCTCAAGGATTTCCGTCCTCGGTCGTAAGGCCTTTTAAAAAGATCTGAGCTGACACTTTTAAAACTTCTCACGAAAAGGTTGTGCGTGACCGGCTTAAGACAGCTGTGTCTTGGGCTCTGCGGTCACACTCCCAGGTACCTAAGACCAACACTAACCTACCTTCCTTTCCAGGTTCCTCAAGAAGCACCCTTCTACGGTATGGGCAGACGGGAAGTGACATCCGCCCTCATACCTGTAACAACACACGAGACAAAATTGGTCAAAATAAAATCCTTCCTACATTCCTTTATCAACCCGCATCGCCAATGCAAACGCTTCGAGTACCCGGAACGTTATGAACTACATGTTGGAGCTTTTGATGTCCGGACTGCCGACTGCAGAGGGGTGTGACAACAGTAAGGTGTTTCCTTCAAACAACCGGCATCTGAGCGATACTGCCTTCTCACAAGGAAGGAAAGGTTAGAAAAAGTCTACCCTAAAAATGCCACACCTCACCCAACTTCACGGATTTCCGTCTCCAGCAGTAAGGGCTACCCACTAAGGTCTTTTAAGAGCTGAGCTAATAATCTTGAAGCTTTTCATAAAACGGCTATGCTTACATGTTCTCCAATCGACCTGCCTGGTATGGTAGAACCTACAGGAACACATATTTCAGCCAATATAGCTCGGTTGGGTCATTATGATAGGCAAGCCCGACCACCAAGTTAAGGTAGCAGCTACGGTCGTGATTTAGGGAAGACACTGCAAGGAAACCTCCCAGGATTATATCCAATCATATCTCAGCTAAGAATATATTTCAGGAGCAACTAGAAAGAGAAGGCAACCATGTAAGCGATTCGCATCCGGAGGCAGCTTGGAATGATATCAGAAAGGCTGTGGAAACAGCTGTGATATTTGCTAGTAAGGTAAACCATACGTTTAGTGAGAAACTGTGGTTCTTAGTAGCATTTGCTCTGAAACTCATCCCATCTAGCTCTGAAGATGACGATGAGCGAAGGCAGCCCAGTCAGTCAGTTTAAACATAGAACTACGTACGTATGTACATAAGTTCAGGTTGCCATACCAAATTAGCTCAGAGACACGAATGTCAAATCAAATCCCATAGTGATAAGGATAGTAGAGGTATTATTGGTAGTGAAGAAGACTAGGGTTTGAAAATATTATTCAAGAAGTATAATTCAGTGAGATAAGATTAGAAAGACAAAACTAGAGGGGTTGAAGAATTCAGAAGATTAGGATTTGAGAGAGCTCAAAGAATGGATGCACTTGCGCCATTGCAAACGATTTTGAGCCATGTCGTTCAAGGTCTGTAACTATTGGTAACTTTCGTCCTGCGGACCCCAACCAGATAGCCTACATCTACCAATATGACTCAGTCCACTTCTCAGTGACTTCATGGATTTTTGCCATGTTTTGGTCTAGCCGCCCCCAGCTTTCTTCCAACCCACTCCTACACTACAAAACATAGCTCTTCGAGGCAGCCGGTGGTTAAGCATACGTAACACATGTCCCAACCACCTCAACTGATGAAGTTTCAATACTTCATCTATTGACCTGCCATTCTTACCTAGTAATTGTTTCCTAACGACAGCATTGCTTACTCGGTTGTCCCACGATATACGAGCAATGCTTCGAAGACACCTATGGTCGAAAACCAGTAACCTACGAATATCTTCTACTTTGACTGGCCATGTTTCACAGCCATATAGGAGAACGGAGCGAACTGATGCACAGTACATTCGTCCTTTGCTCAGCAAACGGATATCTCGCCTTCGCCATAAGTGACGCAGGTTGGCAAAAGCCAATCGAGCCTTCTGTATCCGAGCTGAGATTTCGTCAGTCACCAGGCAATCAGCTCTGATAGACTCACCAGATAAGTTAAGCGGTCTACACGCTCGACTACTTCACTCCATATCACTAGTTCAGGTGCCGATGAAACCCAGTCTTGAAGCAACATTTTGCATTTCGAGGGGGAAAACCGCATCCTGAACATGCTCGCATTGTTGCTTATGGAAGTCAGAAGACTCTGCATCTTGTCAGCGTCTTCACCGAATAGAACTATGTCATCGGTATATTCTAGATCAGTAAGCGATTTTCCTGGTAGAAGGTCAGCCCTGAAAAATCTGACGAGGATAATGTTAACTCTAAGAGGATGTTTACGACAAAGTTAAACAAGAATGGAAAGAGTGCATAGCCCTGACGGACACCACTTGATGTAGAGAATTCAGATGACAGTTCGCCATATGCTCTCACCCGACCAGTGGTGTTCGAGTAGAGTGCTTGTATAAGGTTATTGTACTTCTATGGTACACCTTTCAGTAACAGACACTGCCACAGAACCTCACGATCCATTGAGTCAAATGCCGCCTTAAGGTCCAGGAAGACAACTATTGTAGGACGTCTAAATGTGTGTCTGTGTTCCAGGACCTGTCGTAGTGTGAAGATGTGGTCTATACAACTACGTCCAGGTCGAAAACCAGCTTGGTTTTCTCTAGTCTGCTCTTCACGAGCTTTAGTTAGACGTCTAAGTATAATCGAGGCTAACAATTTAGAAACTATATTAGTTAAACTTATCCCCCTGTGATTGTCACAAGAGGACTTCTGTCCTTTCTTGTAGATTGGGACAATTAGCGACTGAGACCACTCGGATGGGATTACGTCCAGTTCCCAGATTCTACCTATGATCTCGTTCAGTCTAACCGTTAAAACTGGACCACCAACCTTAAACATCTCAGGGGTAAGCCTATCGGGACCTGCCGCTCTACCTCCCCTTAGATTTCCTATAGCTTTCTCAGCTTCATGTAAACTGGGAGGACTTAAATCGATTGGCAATTCAGGTTGACTGGAGATCGTGGGCAACGGAAGTGCGGCTCGAGGCCAGTTGAACTGATCCCTGAAGTGTTGTGCCCATCGATCTTATCTGCTGGATAGAGAATGAATGATAAGACCATCCTTTTCCGATATAGTCTCACTTACAGTAGGATTCCAAATATCAGTTTCCTTGGTAAGTCGGAAAAGTTGTCTAGTGTTGCCTATCGCCGCTGCCTTTTCCATCGCTTTTGCTTTCGCCACCCACCACTGTTCACGGTCGTTACGTAGGCTTTTTATAAGTCTGCGCCTAAGCTGACTACGCTCTTCATCATGTTCAGAGTCAGGTGGGATGCGTTTTCGGGCATCCATCAGTTCGGTGGATGCGACTGAAATCCACGGCGTCATTCTAGCCTTATTGTATACCTTACTAGCAGATAACACTGCTGTTTCTATATTCTTCCTGATATCATTACAACCTTAATCCGGATGTTAATCACTTTCATGGTCTCCTAAATGTTTTTCTAGTTCCTCCTGAAAGATATTCTTAGCTTTATT